CCAGTCACTGAATGTGTCTGACCTGCAGCTGATAAATCAAGTCCCATTTCCTAGCAACTGTGACAGAAAAGGGGCTTGGGCTGCATCACAGCGAGCCGACACCCTGCCCACCAGCACGGGTTTCCCAGATACCAGAAGCTATCTTGACGGCACAAATGTCCGAGTGCGTCTATCCTTATGAGGACTTAGTCTGCACCTCGTCTTTTACTGTGGGTTTTAGAACTGATTATTTAGCTCTCTCAGACTTTTTATGTCTGAGAAAAGCAACATAAATAAAAGCCTATTGGACAGGGTTGAAGCCCAAGTGCACTGGTGTCTGGTACTGGGATTTTGGACTCATTTTGGAGTGCAGAATAATCACTTATAAATCAGTTTTAAGTTCTCTCTAGTATGGTAACATTCCAGATTAAGAACCCTAAAAAATGCTAATTAGAAAAGTAGAGGGTGGAAAGAAGCTCTATTTTCCAAGCTAGGTCTCTCTTGGCTTTATGGCAAATTCCCATCATTAGCGTGGCACTGCATGTCACCGGAGCAGGCAAAGGGTTTGAACGTATCATGAGCCAGGCGCTGCATGTCACCAGAGCAGGCAAAGGGTTTGAACATTGGCAGGTTTCTTGTCCAGATTTTTTCTAGATTTCCTGAGCTGGTAGGGAATAAATGAACGTGGGGGAAGAAAAGCAAGAGGGGGAAAGAGATTGGGGGTAGGCAGATTTAATCAATTAAAAGTAGAAAAGAAGCAAAAGCAGAAAAAGAGAACAGACCCCAGTGGAGTCAGTGGACCTAGTTTAAAACCTGTCACAAATGTTTTGTGTGTGTCTGTGTGGACTTGAAGGATTCAGTTAAACATTCTTTACAAATGCTCTGAGTGAAATAAGCATTGTCAATTATAAGATTTATTTTTATTACTTTAAATTATTTGCATGTGTGTGTTTGTATGTGGGCATGTGCACACTGAGTGCAGTGCTCCAGGAGGCCAGATGGGGGCATCAGATCCCCTGAAACAGGCAGCTGTGGGCCACCTAAGGTGGGTGCTGGGAACTGAACTCCAATCCTCTATAAGAGTAGTCGCTGAAACATCTCCCCAGTCCCAGTTTATGAATTTTGAAAAGTAATTAAAAAATATTTTAGAGCAAGATGAATGGGCAGGCATTCTGCAAATATTACATTTAAATAGATTTTAATTTTAGGTGTAGTACCTGGAAGGACTGTCTGAGTTTTAGGCAAGTTCCTAAATGAACCTGTAAGTATGGGTCCTACTCTGAAAAACAGCAATGAAATGCAATAATATCATCAAATTGCTGTCAGTTTACATGAAGCACCATATGCATAATCCCTCAAGACAGATGCTGGCATGGGACAGGCAGACCCTTAGAAACCATGAAATTTCTCAGTAAGAAAACAGCATGACAGCCATCTCCTAAATTTTACTCCACTGAAAACTGCAGTTTTTAACAGACTGTTCCTGGGCTATAGGACCATTACCCTGCAGCAGGGGCACATGCTATGGTTTGCCAGAGAATGTCTATGTCTGATAGTGGGTTAGGGAAAAGTTCAAGGCACAGCTGAACACAGTAGAGAAGCAGGATTTCAAGACCAGGTCCTACTGAAAGATCATTCTATTGCACCAGTAACTGAGCTTTAACTGAATTAGTCACAACGCCCCTCCTCCCAGCACTCCTGTAAGCCCAGGAGTGAACCCAGTCCTCTTTGTTTTCTAATGACTGGTTTTAATTGTAGATGTGACACAATTCATGAGGGCTAGCTAGAGTAGGTTGACCTGTGGGTATGTCTGGCGGGTAGGTGAGGTGGGAAGATCTGCGCACTGTGAGTGGCAGGAAGCTCCGGATTGTAGAGAGTGGAGAAGCACCCTGAGCACTAACAAGCATGCACTAGCGCACTGCGCTCTGCTCTGAGCTGTGGGTGGAATGTGACCAGCTGCTTGCGCTCCTGCCATCTGCATTTCCCTGCAGCGTGGACCGTCACCTGCAACTGTGACCACAGAGACCCTTTCCCGCTTGTGCTGCTTCTGTCAGGGTTTTATTAGAGTGACGGGAATGGAACTAGGGCTGTTTTCAAGGGGACGCTCAGTCTGTCAAGATGACTGCCTCAGAGAACTACCTCTGCCACAAGGAACGGCAAACATATCTATTTCTTGGTGACTTACATGCTCTAAGCTTTATTCTTACTTCGTAAGTCATGACCTTAAATTTAGGAAAATGCTTCGAATTATAGCAATCAATTCATTTTTCTTGACTCCGAGCAATCAGCTAAACCAAGTGCTCTAAGAGCCAAGAACCTTGGGTGAGGGCCCTAAGCTACCCACTCACAAACCTGACAGAGCATCAAGCTTCATGTGAGCCCATGCCCTCTTCTTGTGGGAACTCACTGCCAACACCAGCAGCCCAAGGGCCAGGAGAGCTGAGCCAGTGCACCGCTCCCAGAACTAGCTCTAATCTGAGTCTTGCTGACACCATCCACCATAGCCTATTTATGTACACGTGCCAACATATGTGTATCATTGCTACTTCTCCCATAGAGCTGTTCTTTATCACCATCTCTCCCATGAAGTCAGCCCCACCACTCTTTGACAGTGCTTTCTTCTATCTGATCACGGGTTGGCTGAATGGACCCCTTTGATGTCACATATCTGATCTGTAAAAACTCATGCAGGACTAGAATCATCTCTTATTTGAGACATTCATTATGACGTCTTTCTCGTTCCCCAGGCTTAAGTAATATGAATTCTGCCAGCAGAAGAAATGGCATTTAATGTAAGCCTTCAAGAACAGGAAAGATGAGCTAGGCATAGTGGTGCACTAGGGAAACTGAGAGGGAAAACTGCTTGAGTCTAAAGTCACCAAGGGGAAGTGTCAGGCCAGCCTGGGCTACATCCTTCTTACACACACACACACACACACACACACACACGCACACGCGCGCGCGGGGAGGGGAGGAAGGGGGGGGAGAGAGAGAGAGAGAGAGAGAGAGAGAAAGAAAGATGGTCTAGGCATGGAGACCAAGCTGCACACGGGGACAGCCGCAGCAACTGAACAGAAATGAGAAAGGATGAGGTGGTTCTAGGAAACAGCAAAGATTTTACCTCAACCTACAGCTTAGGCAGCCTGAAAGCACATGGTCTCTCACAGCTGCAAAATAGACTCACAAAATGAACGTCATTTTGCAGGTCCTGGCTAAGCTTTGGGGATACTGGAACAAGACTATGGCTCCAAGTCACTGGAAGCTAAAAGAAATATTTAAGAAAAGTTGAGGCTAGAAGTGGAGCTACCATAGCACTGAAAGCCTCGAAGAGGGAAGTGGATTTGGGAGTAATAAATGTAAGACAGAAGCAGGTGATTCTCTACCAAGTAATGATGCTAAGGGCCCCAGTTTGAGTAACTCTGGAAATGGAGGTTTGTAGTAATAGAGGGTGGCAGGGCTGCGTCCCCAGCACCCCGGCTGCCTGGCTAGCTTATGCCCGAAGTAACAACACACAAACTGTATTCATTTAATCACTGCTTGGCCCATTTCTATCTAGCCTCTTCTAGGCTAATTCTCACATATTAATTTAGCCCATTTCTAATCATCTGTGTAGCACCCCTAGGTGTGCTTACCGGGAAGATTCTAGCCTATGTCCATCCTGGGTTGGAGCTTCATCGCGTGCGTCTGCCTGGGAGCTGGGAGCATGGCATCTCTCTGAGGCATCTGAGCTCACTTCCTCTTCCTCCCAGCGTTCTGTTCTGTTTACTCCTCCCACCTATCTTCTAATCAATGAGGGCCAAGCAGTTTCTTTTTATTTAACCAATGACCTTCCTCCATCAGAGGTTCCATCAAATATAATAAAATAGATGTGTGTGATGGTATACTCTGTGACTTTGAGGCCACCTTCGTCTATATAAATGAGTTCCAGGCCAGCCAGGGCTGCTTTGTGAGGCCCCATATCAACAAACAACTAATCAATAATACAGGCTCGGGGAAGCTCTTGTGAGAGAGGTGGGAAGACTGTGAGAGCTGAAGAGGGCCATGCAGGCTGGCTATTTGGTCATGAAATGACCATTGCGCTCATAAATTCTCTGAAGCTATGGTTGCCTGAATGATATTAAGCCAGCAGAGGTTCCAACATGCACCAAAACAGTTCTAACTGGATTCAGTGGGTTCCACAAACCCAAAAGGAGAGGACATGAAAGGGAGGGGTAATGTGTTAGGGATGCCTGTTGGAGGGCAGGAAGAAAAGGACATGGCAAGCTACAGTGTTTATATGGATGAAAATGGTATTGTGGTGGCTTGTATGGGTATGTCTCCCATGGATAATATGTTTGCACGTTTCGTCCATAGGAAGTGACACTATTAGGAATTGTGGCCTTGTTGGAGGAACTGTGTCACTGTGGGGGTGGGCTTTGTGGTCTCATATATGCTCAAGACACACCCAGTGTGGCAGATCACTTCCTGTAGATTAAGATGTAGAACTCTCAATTCCTTCTCCAGCACATGTCTGCCTGCACGCCACCATGTCCTGCCATGATGATGATGGAACCTCTGAACTGTAAGCCTCCACCCTCAATTAAATGTTTTCCTTAATAAGAGCTGCCATGATTATGGTGACTCTACAGAGCAATAGAAACCCTAACTAAGATAGGTGATCTATTTAAACATAAGGGAGGAAGAAGTTTCAGAAAAAAAAGACTATTTCCATTTTAAATATCAGGAGTCCTTAAGTCTTGCTTAGATAGTCAGGGACAAGATCTACTTGGTAAGGTAAATAATAGCACTGGGACATAGGGGGAAAGCCTAGCTAGAAAGTGTTTTCAGCAGGAAGTGTCATCAGGAAGCTTCCAGCTAGGCCAGGAGATTGGACAGGGCTGTGCAAGCAGACAAGGTTCTAACACAGACCCTTTAGTGGCAGGACTGAGAGAAAATGGTGATCCAGACAGGAGGGAACATAGGACAGCATTGCAATATAGTAGCCAAACACGGAGGCTAACAGGACATACCAAACCACTTACCGCGTTGAAAAGATGAAGGTCAAAAGCATGAAACTCAGTTGAACGGAGACTACTGAGGAAAAAACAAGACAAGACAGTGGACTGAGTGGGAATGGGCACCACAAGAGTCTCCTGTAGCCTGCTGAGCTCAACCTAAAACTTGTTTAAAATTAAAAACAACTAAACCAATATAGACTGCTAAGCTGGCAGAAGCATAAAAGATTGGACTTAAACTGTTCTCCTCAGACACAGCTGATGACATCAGAACTCAGGAAAATCCAGAACACCCTTTGAGGTGGATTTAATGATCTCATTTGTTCAACTTAAAAGAACTGGTTTATACTAAGAGCTGAACAGCACAAATGTATACATAATGTATTCCTTGAAACAACTATTCTTGATGTTAAAAAGATTATTCGCTATTGTAATACTAATAAAAGTCATGCCTGAAATTACAGGACAACTAGAATATGAAGTTTCTCTTTAAACTTTAGTAGTTACTGACATTTAAAGTATGCTGCTCCTTAAAAGTAAAAAGCCATTTCTTTATATAAGCTTTATTATATTAGAAACTAAGATGGAAGCTTTTACACATTATCCAATGCAGTTGAATTATTATCAATGCACAATAACATCCTATGCCACAAATCTTTCTGAAGTCACTGTAAGAGATCAGATTGAGTTTAACTTAAGTTGGTGACTTACTGAACTATGGCACATCTGGTGCAGAACGTGGCACACATTATGGCTTCTCTTATCTAACACAAATTACTGTGGATCAGAAAATGGTGCAGGGAACATAAAAGTAAAGCAGATTAAGAACGCAAATGTAGGGCTGATGTCTTTCTAAAGAGCGTATATATAAGATCAAGCCAGCGAGTAAATAAAATAATAGCCAAGGGGATGGAACTGCTTCACAATCCTGCAGAGGAGGCCAGGGGACGGCAGGACCTGCTGAATTCTGACTTACTGATGAAGAGTATGAGGATCAGGCTGAATTTATCCAGGTCGATATGCGGGTTGGAGAAGGTGTCGCAGAAGGTGGTGTAGATGATCATGAGGAGTACACTGCTGCTGACGGCGCCAAACGGGGGCTTCTTTCTTTCCAGCCAGTCCTTGATGAATCTGCGGACGATCTGAAACACAGACATCAACAGGTCGCCTCTTCTCTGAGATGTAGGGAGTGGAATTGGGCATCACAAAGTGATTCTGACAGCACAGACAGAATGGGAAGAGAATGATCTGCATGGTGGTCACAGTGGGCTTCAAAGTTTCCCCGCCTTGCCACTCTTCTTCTGGGGAATTTGGTATTTGTGGTGCAACTTCCACTGGGTGTCCATAATGAGAGAATGGATTTTCAACTCCATTCAAACCCATCCTTAATCATGCCAAATGCTCTTTGCTAGCTGTCACTGAGACAGGCCCATTAAGCCTCCCCCAAGTTTATCTCCTCTGCTAATCTTAATGGATGTGTGTAATTATCACAGTCCCCTTTGCCTCAACAGACAATTCCAAGTGCGACTTTGGGAATCTTAAAAATCTGACATCTTCAAGAATTTCAAGACAGTAGACAATCGAAAGTGATCCATGAAACGTATTAATATTTAAAACACTAGCAATGCACCAGAAGTTTTTAATTAAATTATAACTCATGCTTGAAAAGCAAAAGTGCATGTGTTGTGGGAGTTTAAATAATTCACATATGAATATCTAGAGTTTTCTGTGAATCCAAAGACAAATGCCATTTGTACGCTTTTAGAATTCTAAAATTAATACTTAAAAATGAATAAACCCATCCTAACTTTTCCACAAAAGAACTGGTGAAATAAAAGTTATAATGCAGCATCTTCTTATTTTAAGACTAATTCAGATATTTAAGATCAGGACAGTCTAAACACTGGTGGTTCTGTTGGCTTGGGCATGCATGAAAGTGGGCTACTCAGCTTCAAGTGTCTTTTCACTTTTGAAGGAAGTGGTACAAGTTCCACCATCCAGATGAGAGTGGAGAAATTTTATCCTGAATAAATGAATGTGAAATTTCACAACAGATTGAGTTACCAGAGATGCACTAGCAGTTATGAGGTCAGGGAACCACTGTCAACAAGAAGCCTAAGTTTGCAACGGAGCACAGCCTTATTATGGATATTGGAAACAAAACAGGACAGTCATCTCTCCTAGCCACGCTTGTGTTTCCTGCAATTTTGAGCACCTATGGGCAAGTTCACCCTGAATATGGCAAGTAAAAACTCAAGAACTAAGAAACTCACAAACTGTGAATACATTTTTATTGTAGTTTGTTATTTTAATTAAATTTATAATGGTTGTGGTTAATCTTTTACTAGGCCTAACTTGTAAATTAAACTTCATCATATGTCTGTGCGTCTGCATTTATGTGTGTAGAATAAAGTCTACAGTAGGTTCGGTTCTATGCAAGGCTTCAGGCTTCCACCAGAGGCTGATCAGGATAACACAGGACCCTGCATTCTCTTGATTGCACCTTTTGGTGAATGATTGCTGAATCTGCTTATCTCAGCTCAAGGAATGAATAAGCTAACTGTAAATAGGTAAGAGTCTTAAAAGAAGGCCGGCCACTTGGTAACAGGCACAGGAACACAACGTTGAAGCTTGTGTGTTGTGGGAATGAAGGGAAAAGAGTATTATAGACTGATCAGCAATGGTTGGGACTTCTTTAGAAGTGGATCTTAAAGTAATAACTGGCTCACTGAAGTACTGATGGGGAAGGAGAACTCTCAAACTTTTTCTTTATTGGTGTTCATTTATTTTCTTAGTGTTGAAAATATACTGTGTAGAAATAAGAACAGGTCTGTTGCCACTGTTATTGACTATTGTATAAGAGATGAATTCTGCAGAGCAGTCTGTGCGGTATCATGGGCCACCGGTGAGATGGCTTTTGTACAAACTTGACACCAGGGCACTTCATTTAGTCATTTCATAACATACTATATGTTAAGTATGGTCTTCCAAATTTTAATAGTCCAACTGCTTTAAAAATAAATGGAAATAAATGACATCTGTGACAAGTTACTCTGACTTTAATATAGAATAGTTGAAAACATCCAAGTACCCTCTCTGCAATAGACTAGAATGCATGATCCCAACTCTTAAAGTAAATGTGCCCACCTCGCTCACCACCACATCCCCCCACCTGACAAAATAAACAAATAAAAATGAATGGGGCAGAGCGTGAGAGCCAAAGCCACCTTAGAGCCAAGGCATATCTTTAATCATCAATCAACATTATGAGCAGTGATTTGATTTAGTTAACCTAATAGTTTCTCAAAACTTCATTACAAGGCACTTGGTCTTGTGGTAGCATAGGTTGCTTTCAATATGGCAAGAAATAAAGGGCTCCTAATTCAGAATCCTAGGCCAAACACATCCACGGGTCAATGCCCCATACTTAATCTTGATGAAAACAGCTACAGTCGGGAACTGAATGAACCCCCAGGGCAGGGACAACCCTGAGGGGAACAGATCGCCCTTCAGCATTTCTAGAGTCATTGTGTCATCTGGCCTCGTTCTCCATCTTTCCAGCTCCACGGAGCCTTTCCATCTTGCTTCAGATGCCATTCCCAGAGCTATTGCTTTTGCAATGTGTAGTCAGAGAGGTGATCTGAGGAAGAAATTGCTGATGGCCTCACAGATGAGGCCACGAGCTCCAGGAAGACCCATCCCTCAGTTCATAGTCATACTCCTGAAAGACCCCCACTCACTAAGCAGCAGTAACGCCATTTTGCAAGGCTTAAACTTTGGAGCAACGCAAGTAATTAGAGCAGGGAAGTTCGACTTGAGAACAAAGGCGGAGAAGCCAGGCAAGATATCTGCGGTCAGCCGGTCAGCCATCTGGCCCCAAGCGATAAGGAACCCGCAGCTGGCCTGCTCTAATGAGAACATCCCGTTTGCTTAGGGAACCAGGATGCCTATAGTCAGCACATGTGCCCAACTTAGAATATCAGTAATTCACAGAAGAGACAACTCCCCCTATGAAAGATCCCAGCTTATCTGCTGTAACGTCATTTCACAAAGCTTTTGACGAACGACTGTAAGTGCAGAGTAAGGTCAGGGTCCCTGGCTGCAAAACAGGATCTTTATATCCATAGATTAGGACAGGACATCAATTAACAGGATATCTGTTCCCATACATCTGTGCTGGGAGAGGAAAAACCACCTGTGCCCCTTGCCCCATTCCAACTGACCACTAACGATGCATTTGCTTCTGTAATCTGCTTCTGCTATAAAAAGACCTTCCCCCAGTCTGCAGGCGCGCTTGTCTTCCGAGAGACTAAGTCGCCCCAGGTGCCTGTGTACTGAATAAAGCCTCTTGCTATTTGCATCCGAAGAGTGACTCGCTGTTCCTTGGGAGGGTCTCCTCAGCCTGAAAGACTGCCCACCACTGGGGTCTTTCACTCCATTTCTTACGACTTTGTGCCTGCCAGGCAGTGGTGGCGCACACCTTTAACCCCAGCACTCAGGAGGCAGAGGCAGGTGGATCTCTGTTTGAGGAGTTTGAGGTCAGCCCGGTCAACAGAACAAGTTCCAGGACAGCTAGGGCTGTTACACAGAGAAACCCTGTTTCAAAGCAAAACCAATGAATTTGTGTCATCTAAAAGTTCTCCAGACTGGGGCCTTATGGACAGTTTTAGAAACCCTACAGGAACCAAACCTTTGCTAGAGAGAACACTGCATCCCGAGACTGTCCCATGAGAGAATCCACAGGAACAAAGACAATGGAGATGCAGTGGGAAGAGGCGTCCAGGTGAGGTGGCCAGGTGTATCTGTGTAGAACTTACACTAAATTCATTTGTTCTCAGTGTTCAGAGAAACTTAGGCATTAAAAATTAAGCAACAAATCCTCATTAGCTTATTTGCTTTTCCCAGTAGGGAAGGGGTACGTGTGAGTCTCCCACAGGAAGGCTTTCATTTTATTGTTTCATCTTTAATACTTTAATTTTTGTTATTTTAAATTAAAAAGCTGGCAAGGCTATGGGAAAATTAAACTTGACTGCACTTCCAATAAGCTCTGTTTCATATCAACTTTTTCATTGGAACCCAGTAAAAGTGACATATCTTAGTGAAAAATGCTGATAGACCAAGATGACTCTGAAGTGGGCAATATTCATCATTTTGGTTTTTTTAATCTTTTTGGTCAATGAATTTCTCTGCTTTTTCTTTCTATTCTGTCTTTACATTTATAAATTGAGTTTGGAGTGAGGATACATGATGGGTAATTCTTCATGTTAAGCCTGAGTTTTAAAATTTATTTCTCTTCAAGGTGGTTTCGGGTTCTTCAGTGTACACCTTCTATTGCAGTGAATTCATGTATTTCCATAAAGAGGTTTGTCTCTTTAACATCCTGTTGAAAGGATATTGTAAGACAGGTTTATGTTTATAATATGTTTCTCTTAAAATGTTTTATTAAATATTGATTAGTTTAAAGTAATATTAGCATACTTTGAAAAAAGTATAAATAAATAATAAACTGGAATAATCAACATCCATTAGCGATAACCCATCTAAAAGTGGTTACAAGTATCAGTTTGGGAAAATTCCTTCATCCATTCTCAGAACAACGTGTAGACATCTTGCTGGTGACACAGTTGTCGACAGAGGCACAGAGTGCCTAGACAACCTGCATAAACTATAAAAAGCTAGTCACATGCTGAGCAGGGATGTGCTCTCTATTTTGTGAGAGAACTCTGCAGGGTATCGGGTACACAGGAGAACCAGGTTATGCATAACCTTGAATCCTGGCTCCACCCTTGACTTCCTGTGGCTCCTCTGTGACAGGGCTATGGCAGTAGTTAGAGTGATGACCATGTAACTGAGTGAACCGAAGATGCTTTAGAAACGGCCCCTGTGTGGTGAGTGATCTCACAATTCTGGCTCTGGGTTGGTGAAGTGTCTGTCTCTGTTCACAGCATATCCCATCCCGCAGGACAATGTACCAGCACAAAACAACTGTATGAAGCTAAAGAAAGACCCAATTCAGCATCATATGTACAGACTAGCAGAGCGTTAGTAACACTAACTGCAGCTTACGCTAAAGCCCATTTATCAGGAATGGCCAACTTGAAACTGTGAAGTAAGTCCTGAGTGGAAAGATGAGAAAATGCCT